TTTTTGTGTGATTTTGTTGTCAGCACATTCAACTTTGTACAGAACAAAGTATTCAATGAGAATATTTCATTCATTCAGATCTAGGATGTGTTATTTGAGTGTTTCCTTTATTTTTTTGAGCAGTGTATATGAACATGTTAATGGTTATGAATATAACTAATAATCCAGCTAACAAACCAATACAGAGACTAACAAAATGAACAGCGCATTTACTTTTACTGATGAGGACTAAAAAGCATTGAACTTTGGTCTGAGATGTCCCTCCGCCTGAGATGTCCTGGCCTCAGAAAATCCTCCTAGGTCCTTAAACCACAAACATGGAAATTGGCGTAAAAAGTATATCAAAACATAAGAATTCATGATCATTTATAGAAAAGGGCAAAATGCCGCATTATTTAGGGCCGTTACCAGTAAAAAATAGTTTTAAAATGGGATCTTATTGAATTCTGATGTCAATTTAAAAATGTGTGTTGCTAAAGATTGAAATTAGTGTGCATTGAATTATGTGACGACCTTTTTATAAAAGGAGAAAAATACTGTCAAGACTTCATGTGATGTCGTAAACTGTTCTTGGCTAAGAGGTCTCAGATTACTGACCACAAGAGAGGACAAAGATATTTTCCTGATTGCAGACGAAGGTTTTATGGAAAAAAAATGTACACTGACATTTTCTCTCACCAGTAGAGTAAAAAATGTTCTTTAATTCAAGGTGGCAAGAACTAAGGTCTTTGTGGCCAGGACATTTTATACTGGATACATTTCAGGACATTTTTTGGATGCTCTCTGAGGTCCCTCCAACTGCAGCATCAGTCATTGTGGTAAAAACGCCCATTTTACATTTCTTGCCAATCACACAATAGTTTGAGTCTGACACTACACAAGAAAATGTCTTTGCAGTGGACCAGGTCTCATTGCGATAAAACCGTGCAGTTGAGATAATGGCGCGAGTGGCCTAGGAAACCACAACAAACACCTAAAAGGTCATGGACTACCAGCAGTAACTTGTGCATTAGGTAACAGGAACAAAAGTACTTGCAGGTGATGAACAAAGGTATAATGTCAAGTAGGACCTCTAAGGTTGCTTTGTCTAATATGTCCCACGTTTATTGATTCTGTCACTGCGAAACAATTGGAAACTGAACAAGAAACTTTTAATGAAGTGTGGCAGTTATCCCAGTGTCAGTCGTCTGACAGCAGAGCATGTAATCAGCGTGTAATCAGGAGTCTTTAAACAGTCTCAGAAGCTTATTAAAACAAAGGGCACCATTCATCTGATCATGGTGTTAGTTCTGGCTGATATTTAATATGGCCTTAATATGAAGAAGGTCCTGGATTCAAATCCTGGCATGTGGTCTTTCTGCCTGGAGTTAGCATGTTGTCCATGTGCATGCACCCTCCCTCTCACCCGCCAGAAATCGATCATGGTTGGATTTTGGACAGTTACAGGTTGATATCATGTGGTCCTTAAAATAAGAGACGGATGATTATGATCTTAAATGATTGTGCTTCATCTTTTACTTTTACCATAAACATATCCTGTAAATACAGTTTCACTATCATGTTTAAGACATATTAAGGAAGAATGTAAAATTAAACTGCATTTTTTTTTTTAAATAAGAAACATGATTAATGTTGTTAAACATAATACAGTGTTTTGTTGGCTTGTTTATGTTTTTTAATGCAACAACACCACTGAAAACAATGTCACAAACTGGGTGGAATTACACTGATGGACTAACTCCATCGATGTAATCACTGACAAGCTAACCTGATCGTAAACAAAAGACCGTGATGTAGTTTTAAACTTTCTTTATTGATTTTAGAACAAAAATATTTGTAAATCTCAGTTTCAATGAGTGAGTAAGTCATAAATTCTTTTAATAGACAGTTCATTGCTTGGATCGTTGACAGAGAATCTAATGATTTGTATTTTGAACTTCTGCTCAACTCCGATGCTCTTACATAATTATTGGGTCATTACCTGAGTCTTCAAGGCCAGATCCTGCCCACGGCCTGAACCTCAGCCAATTATTTATCACCAAACGACATAAAAACGGAGGTGTGGAAGAAGAGAACGGAGCAGAGATCACTCATTCATCTCCACAGCTTCACGCACACACCGATATGGGAAAGCCAGGTTAGTGTTTTTTACTAATGGTATGGTAAGTATCTCAATTTTAAAATTCAGCAGCATTGATTTAAAATATATTTTTTAATTGGTTCATTGAAAATTAATTAAAAGGCAAAAATAATTCAATTCTGGTTTTAATTCAAAAATACTGTGAGGGATCCTAGTTGTTAATACTTTAATGATTTGCAAATATTTACTAATATGTCAAATGTTACACAAAGGCAGATAAAATGTGTAGATAATAGTTTATGACTGTCATTCTTTATGCGTATTTCACAGTGATACAGCAGTGTAGATAAGGTCAAACTGATAGCTTCCTTCATGCTTTTTACTATTTGTTTTACACACTTTTTGTTATTGTTGATTTTATTTTATATATATAACTGGAATTTGATTGCAGGGTTTTTATGTTTTGTTTTAAACATTGATTTCCAGGCTTCTATCATCCTCATCAATGTTTTAACATTCTTCTCCAGTTTGAGCACATATGAGCTCAGGATGTCTGCAAACACTAGCTGAAAATTATTAAGTATAGATATATATAACTTTAAAAACTGGTCTGTGCTTTCTTCTCTGGGTGTTTGTTCAAAAACCATCTACTCTTGTATTTTAGTCACCTACGAGGAACTGAAGGCTCTTCTGGCCAACAGCAAAGATCTGATTCTGATTGATGTCCGTGAGAAAGACGAGGTGGATAAAGGGCGTATCCCCAGATCCATTCACATTGCCCGTAAGAGATCATTCACTATAATTTAGTAAATATCTATATCTGTTGTGTAAGATGGCGCTCTTAATGCCACCAGACTATGTGAGTGATCTGCTGTTGTTGCTTTCTCCTCTTCTGTGATCAGTTGGGACCGTCGAGGCTGCTTTCAAAATGAACCCAGAAGCCTTCCAGGCCACGTATGGGATCCCCAAACCTGCACTGGACGCTCCTGAGCTGGTGTTTTACTGCCGATCAGGAAAGAGATCAGCAGAGGCCATAAGCAAAGTCAACAAACTCGGATATGTGACGTAAAAAAGCTTTCGTTTGCACTTTTAATATTCCTTAATACATTCCTAAAGATAAACACTCTAACCCTCAGTGTCTCTATTCCCTTTTTCAGAGCACGTAATTACGCCGGCTCCTACATTGAATGGTCTAGTAGGGAGGGATGAAGACCCATGTTGAAGAAGAGCCTACATGTATATAATTATATAAACTGTAAAAATCTTCACAGAAAAAAACCTTTTATCTAAACTTCTATGTAACTTACAAATTAAATAAGTTCTGCTTTATATTCCTAAAAGTGTTTTTTGGGGTCGCGGCGCTGATGGTGTAGGGGTTAAAGCGCGCGACCATATGGGGAGGCTGTGGTCCTCGGGGCGGCCGTCCCGGGTTTGAGTCCCGGACCTGGCGACATTTGCCAAATTTTTTATTTATTTTTTTTCTCTCTCTTCTCTTTTTTATATGTCGTGTTGTTTTCTTGTGGACCCATGAGTCTGTTGAATAAAGTAATCTACCCCTCTTTCCTGTCTGCCTACTGTCAAAAATTTAAAAGATAAAGGCCACTAGTGCCGAAAAAATATCTTAAACAAAAAAAAAGTGTTTTTGGATTGTCATGTCAGATCCTGGATTAGTTATGCAAGAATTAATATAATCATCAGGCTCAAAGAATTTACTGCATCCAGTTCAGTGATGACTTTATTGTCCTGTACAACAATATGCATCAATATGCATTCCACTAAATATTTAATTTGCATTAAAGGTTTAAATTTGTCTGTCATAATTAACTATGCAGATATTAACAGCCCACTTTATTTATTCATTAACAAACATTTACCTTCAGACAAGTATTTAAAAGGTTTTATCATTTAAAATAGTTTTGGGTCCAGTAAGAAACTAAATGAAGAGATGTTTCACAACAAATGCAGCAGATGAAAATTAGATATTAATTTAATGAATCAGTGATGGTTATTTTTAAGCACTGGTTCCCAAAGTTGGGCTCAGGATCCGATTGTGGGTGCCAAAACACCAAAATGGGCGGTCTGGAAATATTGTCAAAAAGTTAGAATACATAAAAAAACAAAACATTTCTTATAATCTGTGCCAAAACTGGTAGAACGTAAACTGATTAAGAAGACTAATTGATCCTCCTTAAAACTGGCCTGATTCATCAAGGCCTGGTCTCCAATAGACCAAGATGTTAGCAAATATGTCCTGTGTGCTGCGAGTTGGGGCATTCATGCATTAGACTTGATTCTACATAACATCCCACAGATGCTCAGTTGGATCAAAGTCCAGTGAATGATTGCAGGAATGGTGCAATCATTCCTGCACCATTTCTGGTTTGTGGCAGGGTACATTATCCTGCTAGAATAGGCCGCCAAGGAATAACATTTTCATGAAAGGGTGTACATGTCCAACATCGAGGTTGGGTTGGTAGGACATGTCAAAGTAACCCTAGGTTCCCCAGCATAACACTTCTCAAAGTGTCACATTACCTCCGCTGGCTTGTCTTCTTCAGACAAACTCAACCATTCATTGGCTGTATGGGAAAACTTGATTTGTTAAACCTGGCCGCTTTTGTCCTTAATTGAAGACCCTCATGTGCCCATTGTTGGTGCTTTCGGCAGCGATTTGAACCATGGGCGCCCTGGCTGACCATATGCAGCTCAAACTGCAACTCTGTGTATTCTGGTACATTTCTATGAGCGTCAACAAAAACGCCTTTAGCAATTTGAGCTACAGTCCCTTGCATGTTGGACCACACAGGCTGACGTGTGTCTGGTTCTTTTGATAGATACTCCTCACAGCAGACTAGGAAGACTCCACCAGAGCTGCAGTGTCGGGGATGTTCTGATCCAATCATCTATAGCTGTCACCACTTGATCAAATCCTTACACTTGCCAATTTTTCCTGCGTCAATTTTGAGGTGAAAATGTTATTTTGCTGCCTCATGCATACCACCTGTTAACAGGTGTCATGATGAAGATATCAGGGTTACTACACCTGTTAATGGTCATAATGTAATGCCTGATTGGTGAAGAGAAAATGTAGTCACAAATGGAATAAAAAACAATATTGGTTGAGAAGCTCTGCTGTTAAATTGTGAGTCAGTGGAGAAATTTTGCAACAAATGTTCCTACAGATATCACAAACCTTCTCATTTGAATTTATGATAGATTCAAAATATTATGTATAAATTGATTTAAAATATATCCATGAAAACTAGAGCTTTCAGCACCTGCTCATATAAAAAATGAGTTTCTAAGCTTTTGACCGCTTCTCTATAGAAGAAATCAAATTAATAGAAGAAAAACTACCAATTTTATATCCAATTTATTTGAAAATGTTCTAAAATAATAATAAATTCTAACAGTTGATGGAAATGTTAACATTAACTTAACGTCAGCATTCCTACACTCTTAAAACAGATGTGTCAAAAACAACACATGATGACGCCTTAGTCATTTTAACACAACTATTGTGTTAGTCAAATGAACACAAATGTGTGTCAAAATGTGTTATTTTGACACATATATGTATAAAATGTGTTTTCATAGATAAGGTCAAATAAAAAATAATGGAAAAGAATCCCTGTCCCTTCCAATAATAATCAGTTTTTCCAATTGCACTCAAATGGCAACATGTATTTACAATCCAGTACAGTCATCATCCAAGGTACAAGATTTTGTATTTTTGGGACACGTACAACTCTCTGGTGCCAAAACTCCTCATAAGATCTAAAGGATGCAAATCTGAAACTTCTGCAAGTGTGATCAACTTGTATTCGCTTGTTTTTTGTACTGCATGAGCATAAAAATGATCATCAAAGTACAGTACATTTAGTATTCGAACAAACATGAAAATGGAGTCGTTATGCACCAAAATATGAACAACTTCTCCAAATAAAGGCTCCTTTCTGTGATCTGTTCTCAAGGGCAGTATGGAACCAGCTGTGTAGATGTTGCTGTACACATCAACACTGTGAGACCGATAGATGGTAGTGGTTAAAGAAATGTCCGTTTCTAGAGCCAACCTCAGGTGGCTCAACAAGACATCTGGTTTTTTCAGTGACCCCACACTAACCAGATAGGCGTTGTTCACACTAATTTTCTTGGAGATGATAGAGCTATGCTTATAATGATACATTTGTTGTACCTGGTGTTGGAAAGCCAATGTCTGTGAAACATTTTTGAAGTTACACATAACTTGTGCAAGTCTTTTGAATGGATTGGGCTTTGCTTCAAATCGCATGCACCAAAGTTTAGACAGAGGTCCAAAACGAACCATTATCCGTGGATAATGTATCATGAAATGATGTTTCGGTGTGAGATTTCTCTCGTACAGCTGCTTGAAAAGAGTATGACGCTCGATTATCAATTGTTTTAGAAACACAGCAAGCCTTTTGGTAACAACTGGTGTAAAAATAATGCTGCAGATTTCATTTAATAAAACTAGTCATTTCCAGTGTTGACTCTTTCTGTTAACAAGATCTCCAAGTAAAAAAGGCAAAGATAGTAAAAGGCACCACATTTGGGAAGCCGTCTGTTTTACAGGATCCTCACCAGCTTTCAAGTTCAATGTGACACTTGGCTTGTTTTTGACATTTCCACTTCCATAGTGAAAACCTGAAATTCTGTCATTCAGTTCTTCCAATGTAATCAACGTGTCCACATAAATGAAATGTTGCAGCATTAGTTTAACCTCTAGTGGAGCTACACCTTCAAGAACATCATGCATGACATCAACACCTGAGTTTTCTGTGACATGAAAATACTGTAGCTTATTCAAACAAG